CCGTTACTATATCCCTCAATAAAGGCAAAGGAATAAAAAAAGAACAGAAAGGGAAAATAAACTTGAAGATGAAGGCAAAGAAAAGAAAAGAAAAGAAAGAAAGAAAGAAAGAAAAGGAAAGAAAAAAGAAAGAAAGAAAGAAAGAAAGAAAAGGAAAAAGACTAAGGAGTTGGACAAGGAAAGAAAATTGGAAACGGAAAAGGAAATACATAATTGAAAGAAGGAGAAAGTATACGAAATAAAGCAAACAAAAAATGAAAGAAAAAAAGAAAGTGAACGGATAAATAAAAATGCAATAAAAGAAGAGGAAAAGAAAGAAAGATAGAAATAAGAAAGAAGAAAAAAAAAACTGGACATACAAAGAAAGTTAATAAGAGAAAGAAAGAAAAAGAAGATGGAAAAATATGAATACAATAAAAGAAGAGAAAAAAAGGAAGGAAATGAAAGAATAAAAAAGACGTACGAAATAAGTGAAAATAAGAAGAAAGAAAAAAGAAACGAGAAATGAGAATACAATAAAAGAAGAGGAAAAAAAGAAAAGTCGTACGTAATAAGTCAAAAAGAGAAAGAAAGAAAAAGGAAAAGAGTCGGAAAATAACATTAAAATAAAAGAAGAGGAAAAAAGAAGAAAATGAAAGAAGAAAAAAGTGTCGTAAGAAATAAACCAAAAAGTGGAGGAAAGAAATAAAAAAAGGTTTGAGTAAGTAAAAATACAATAAATGTAGAAAAAAGAAAGAAAAAAGAAAGACATTAAAGAAGAAGAAAGCAATCGGTATTTACGAATAAAGTAAAAAAGAAGTAGAAGCAATATATATATATATATATATATATATATATATATATATATATATATATATATATAAACGGACAAGTAAAAATACAATAAAAGAAGAGAAAAAAAACTAAAAAACAACAAAGAGAAAGAATAAAAAATTGAAGGAAACGAAAATGGCAATAAAAGAGAGAAAAATAATCAATGAGAAAAAAACAAGATGGATGACGTAAATGAAAAACAGGAAGAAGGAAATGAAAACAATGAAAGAATAATAGGAAAAAGAATAAGAATGATAAGAAAAAGAAGGTTAAAAATGAGAAAAAGACGTATGATAAAAAAGATGAAAAAGGTAGAAGTAAAGAGGGAAAAAAAGAGAAAAAGGATGAAAAAAAGACAACTGAAAATGGGAAAACAAAGAGAATTACTGAAGTAAAAATAAAAAGTAAAATAACAAGGAAAATAGAAGAACAACGCATAGGTGACGGAAAAAGAAGGGAAAGAAAGTTAGAAGAGAATAAGAAAAGAAAAAAAAACAAGAAGAGAAAGAGAAAGAAAAAGAAAGAAAAAGAAGTGGACGAATAGAGAAATCGAATAGAAGATGAGGAAAGAAAAAGAAGAGGAAAAAAGAGAAAGAGGAAAATAATGAGACCAAGAAGAATAGAAGAAAAAAAAAAGAAAAAAGAAAGGAATGTAAATGAAGAAAAAAAAATTAAAAGAGAAAAAAGAAGAAGAGAAAGAGAAGAATGAAAGAGAAAACAGAGAGAAGAAGAAACGGAGAAAAAAGAAAAAGAAATTAACAATGTCGAACACAATAAAACGCAATAGAGGATGAAGGAAAAGGAAATAAAATGAAAACAAAAAAGAGCGGAAAGAAAAATAGAAAGAAAGCAAGAAGAGAAATAAAAAGTAAGTAGAGAAACGTGAAATAAGAAGAGGACAAGGAAACAAGGTGAGGAAGAACGAGAAAAGAAAAAGAGAAGAGAAGAACAGAAAGAAATGGAAAATGGAAAGAGGAAGAAAGAGAAAAGAAAAGCAAAAAGAACGAAAAAAAATGAGTAGGGAAAGAATTTGAAATGAAGGCGAAGGTATAAAAATAATCAAGGAAGTATATAAAAAAAAGAAAAGTAGAGGTTTAACGAGGAAGGAGGAGAAATTAAAAAAGAAGAAAAAAGAAAGAAGATAAGTATGCTTCTTGTTTTCTTCATCTTCGTTTTATTGCTTCTATTGTTTTTTGTTAACAATAACAAGAAATAAAAGAAGGAATAAAAGAGAAAAGACCTGGAAGAAAGCGAAAATAACAACAGAAAAAAAAAGAAGCGGAAGAAGTAGAAAGGAAGTATGACGGGAAGGAGAAAACGATTGGAAGATAAAGAAAAGAAGAGCAATGAAGAAAAGACAAGAAGAGGAGAAAAGAAAGAAAAAGGAAAGAAAAAACAGATAAAAAGAAAATGAAAAAAAGAAGTAAAGAGAAAGAAGAAGAAATCAGAAGGTGAAAGTGAAAGAAAAGCAAAAAAAAAAGCGAATAAGTAACCTCTTTCTTTATTTCATCTATTTTTTTTCTTCATCCTTTTTATTTTTATCTTTTTCTGTTGCTAGAAAAAATGCAGAAGACAGGTAAAAAAAGAGGAAAAAAGAGACGAGGAAAAAAAAGAAAAGAAAATGAAAACAACAACAGGAAGATAAAAATAATAATAATAATAAAAGTAAGGATATTAATCAAGAAAAATAGAGAGAAAAAAAGATCTGCAGCCAATCTAAAGAATTCCTCTTTGTATAAAAAAATCATAAATCTACAAGCTTTGAAACTATCACCAAAAAAAAAAAAACAAAAAAAAACACGTTTTATTTCTTCTTTTTGTCTTTTCTTTGTTTTGAAAGCAGGACGCACGATGTTCTTCCTTAACGCCCACCACATTAATTTACCCCTGAGAATTGCATATTGAGTTGCAAATTGATCCTAGAACTGGCTGTAAACCGGTGTCTAAATAACTAACGTATCTGCCCGGAATTTCGTGCTGAAAGATAATATATAGCGCATTAAATAAATCCTGACAATTAATTATCTGTAACAGGGAGCCAGGAATAAATTTACGCATTTGAAAATATTGTAACATATTTATAAACTATGGCGATAGGTCAGCTGCATATGTTTCAAGATTCAGTATTTTAAAATAAATCGTTTTCTCACAGCACAGTGATTATCGAGTCTGTATGATTGTTATAAGATGTGCAGGTGGTGCTAACGAGAACGGCTCGGAATAAGAATTCGGAGAGCCGAGTTCGAATTCCTGATGGGTTCGTTACTTGCGGCAGATTGGGCAATTGACACGACGGAAGAATTTCAGTCACTGTGCTCTTAATTGGATCGATGCATTCCCATGGGTATGCCAGACTTGCTGGAAGATTGATGATCTTATCAAGTCACCTTCTCTTGAATGGTTAACCTCCAAGGCTATCGAACCTAGTTTATCTTGCTATTTAACCCTTAGCTGGAGAATAAGATGGATTAAAATCTTTCCCAGGGGTATTCACGCGTAAGTGAATGTAATAACGAAGGCAGCTGGTATTCGAACTCGGAAATCCTCATTTCAAGCTGCATTCCATTACACCACGCGCACATCTATCAGCGTCATATTTAATTACGCGCAAATATCGCATAGATTAAAGAGTAAGATTTGTATTGGGGAAAAAAATTATCGTTATTCGCCAGAAATAATTTAATGTAATATTCACCCACAAAAAAATATACTTACATTTCAAAATATGCTTTAGGTTTTAAATAATCCACAAAGGGTTGATAAGCCATAAAAAACCCGAATCAATCATGTTTGTTATTATGGTTCCCTGAGTGTCCTGAGCCTGTGGCTTTAAATTGGGAAAAGAAATATATCGCTCAGTGGTTAGCGAGACTTCGCTAATTTAGTGAGGTTTTCTCTTTACATAATCTCGCACACTTGGGCTTAATGTCAAACTAAATTAAGTTGTAGAGTTGAATGAAGACAATTCGTATTGCTACGGCAGCGAATGTTGGACGATTTCCTCAAGGATAAAGAAGAGACTCAAGGCGACAGAGATGTTTTTCTACAGAAGGATACTGAGGATATCATCGACCGAGTGTGTGAGCAACGATGATGTCTTAGTGAGGATGAAAACAAGGAGGAGGCTTCTACTTAACATCAGGAGGATGCAGCTGACGTTTCTGGGACACATAATGAGGAAGGTGGGTTTGGAGAATCTGATACTCACGGGTTAAATAGAGGGAAAGAGAGGCAAGGGAAACCAGCGCATGATATACCTGGCAGCTTTAAGCAAGTGGATGTCAGAACGTGATCTGGAGGTGGGTGGCAGAGGGAAGGAACTTATTGAGATCTGCAAGGAATAGAAGGAGGTGGAGAGCCATGATCGCCTTCAAACCTCTCCGCAACACTATGACACATAACACAACGCAACTCCCGATCTGCACCTGTTACATTAAGCAATGGAAAACAGGACAGACTTAGGTTTGAGAAAGACGACGCGAAACGTGACCGGTGTTTATTAGGTACCGAAGTGTACCGAAGAGTACCGTAGAGTACCGTTTCGTATTCCATATTTTTTTCGCGCAGTTTAGTCACGATACTACAATTATTCTACATCTGTTTCCAGAGTTTCCATCCTTCTGATATCCTCCCGCCATTTCCAGCTTGAAATGTACTCTTTAAATTCGTCCACTGTGTGGGGATTTTTCTTATAAACTTTGTTCTTTACTATGTCCGCCTCCCCCCTCAAAAAGAGATCCTTTGGTGTTAGGTCAGGTGAACGTGGTGGCTATTCGATGCTGTCCCAACGCTGTGAAAGGTTTGGTTAAGGTGTTCCCTTACTGCCAAAGTATAATGGGGAGCTGCTCCATCTTGCTGAAAGAATAGTTCGATGAAGTCAGATCTAAAACGTGAAACAAATAATTAAACAATTGTAAGCCTAGTTTTGCCCCCCCCCTGTATGCTTATCATTTGTCGGTAGATACACATCTCTATCGTTTCAAGTATCTTCTTCTTCAGTGAAAAGATTAACCTGCATTCAATGCAGTATAGGAGATTAGATATTGCATAGAAGGTCAGCATTCTTTTAGTCAACAATTTAATAAAGAACACGACACTTTGTTTATGAGTGTCTGGGAAATGGAATAAGTCATTCCATTGACTGTAAATAAATTGATTGCCAGCGTTCAAAAACACCAAACCCATGTTGGCTCAAATATATATGTGAATGGGATGTCTTCTAGACTTGTTTTTATTTTTTCATTTTCTCGTCTTTCAAAAACATTCCTCATTGACAAATACTAAGAAAGGATAAACGTTTTCTGTAAAAAAAACAAAAAACTACGATAACAAGACCAGTTGCCGTAAACCAGTTGCAATCAAAGGCTGTAGAACCCGGCCTGGACTGTTATTTACCCATAGATGGGGTGGGGTAGAAGAAGAAGAGGCTTCATACCTTTCCTAAGGGTATTAGCACGTAAGGTTAGATATTTTGGTAATGGTAACATTAGCGGTTTCCTTATAAGGAAACTTTCGGCATTTATTAACCGAGCAGCCAGTCAGTCAGTTCTGTGCTATGCGTGATACACGCGTAGGTGATCATGTATCTTTCGATACATGACTGACGAGGCAGATTTTTTTTCCCGCAGTAGGATACCATTTCTTTTTGCGGTAGACCAGTTGCCATCCAAGGCTATAGAACACAGTCTGTCCTGTTATTTACCCATAGGTGGAGGGAGAAGAAGAGGATTCATACCTTTCCCGAGAGCACGTAAGTGAATGTAACGGATTCGACTGGAATTCGAACTCAGCTCTCCGATTCCTCAGTCCGCCGTGTCTCCTATCCCAATGTATAAAAAGACTTTTCTCTTAAACAATTTTTTGGGGAAAATCTCAAGTTTACTGTTATTGCCCAGTCCAATATTCATGGAGACTTCCTTACTAACATTTTATTTGAAGTAGTGTATCATGTCATTATTTTTCTTCGTGTTACTTATGCTATTCATTGTAGTAGTTGCTGTTGTTGAAAGTCCTAAAGTGATGTAGTTTCTGTTATTTAGTACAGATTCTTTCCTGCAGTCGGTTGCTATTTCTTTCTGCAGTAGACCAGTTGCCATCCAAGGCTATAGAACTCGGTCTGTCCTGCTATTTACCCATAGCCGGGAGGAGAAGAAGAGGCTTCATACCTTTCCTAAGGGTATTAGCACGTAAGTGAATGTAATGGATTCGACTCGAATTCGAGCTCGTCTCTACCGATATCCTCAATCCGAGCCGCTATCCATTACTCTACCGTAGTGAAAATCTCACGGCGAACGACTGCACATTGTGTGATTAATAAACGTGTTTCGATCAACAGGAAATATTATTGCAAACTTAGACACACAGGTAGGCGGATATTAAGATAATTGTTGATTACTTCGAAAGTTTTTTTTTGTTTTTGTTATTCGTTTGGTTGCGTCCCTGGTTGACCAACGACAAAATGAAATTATTTGCCTCGCCTTATTTTCCTTTTTACGTTTCTTTTTATTAGGAGCAGAGAGTATGGTCATCTAAATCTTGAAAAAAAAAATATTTTGGAAAGCAATTGCATGTCCTTCGTTGTAGATGAATTCTATATAGCCATAAATATGTAGATATATAGAAATCATCTACATATATTCCTATCAAACCGTAATTATAGATCTAGATATTTACATAGATACGTATAGATCCATGGATTTCCGCATATTTCCATAGATCTATTTATTCCACAGAATCATATATTTCCATAGAATTTCATAGATACATTAGCTTCCATAGGTTTATATAGATCCTGTAGTCTTTATATACGTATAAATTTCCATGTATATTAGTTTCTATAGACGCATAGATAGCCATAGTAATCTATAGATTTTCCATAGATCCATTGATTTCCATGGACGCATAAATTTCCATATTCATTACTTCCGAAAACACAGTTTTCCATAGGGATCCATATATATATCCATAATTTCAATACATCCCTTAGTTTGCATAGACTCATAGATTTCCATAGAGACATTAGTTACGCAGACATATTAACTTCTATAGAGAGCCATACATTCCCATAGATTTCCCAAGACATATACACACGTATTTCAAAGAGATCCATGTAATTCCATTAATTTTGGACATCCATATATTTCATAGATCCATTAGATTTACATAGATCCATTAGATTTCCAAAGTTTTTATATATATTCAAAGACCCAATAGCTTCCATATATTTCCATGAATCCATATAATTCCATTGATTTTCATAGAGCCATAGGTTTCCATAGATTCATTAGTTTCCATAGAGCCATAAGTTTCCATAGGGTCTCGATATGTTTCCATAGATTTTCGGGGGTGGGGGTGCATATGTTTCCATAGATTTTCCATATTGATCGATATGTTTCCATAGATTTTCATGGTGGGGGCATATGTTTCCACAGATTTTCCATAGTGATCAATATGTTTCTATAGATTTTCATGGGGGGGGGGCATATGTTTCCATAGATTTTCCATAGTGATCGATATGTTTCCATAGATTTTCATGGGGTGCATATGTTTCCATAGATTTTCATGGTGGGGGCATATGTTTCCATAGATTTTCCATAGTGATCGATATGTTTCCATAGATTTTCATTGGGGGGTGCATATGTTTCCATAGATTTTCCATAGTGATCGATATGTTTCCATAGATTTTCATGGTGGTGGGGGGCATATGTTTCGATAGATTTTTCATAGTGATCGATATGTTTCCATAGATTTTCGAGGGGGGCGCATATGTTTCCATAGATTTTCCATAGTGATCGATAGGTTTCCATAGATTTTCAGGGGGGGGGCATATGTTTCCATAGATTTTCCATAGTGATCGATATGTTTCCATAGATTTTCAGGGGGGGCGCATATGTTTCCATAGATTTTCATGGGGGATGCATATGTTTCCATAGATTTTCCATAGTGATCGATATGTTTCCATAGATTTTCATTGGGGGGTGCATATGTTTCCATAGATTTTCCATTGTGATCGATATGTTTCCATAGATTTTCATTGGGGGGGGTGCATATGTTTCCATAGATTTTCCATAGTGATCGATATGTTTCCATAGATTTTCATGGTGCATATGCGATTTTCCATAGTGATATGTTTCCATAGATTTTCCATTTTAGTGATCGATATGTTTCTATAGTTTTTCGGGGGGGCATATGTTTCCACAGATTTTCCATAGTGATCGATATGTTTCATAGATTTTCATGGGGGGGCATATGTTTCATAGATTTTCCATAGTGATCGATATGTTTCCACAGATTTTCATGGGGGCATATGTTTCCATAGATTTTCCATAGTGATCGATATGTTTCCATAGATTTTCATGCTGGGGGCATATGTTTCCATAGATTTTCCATAGTGATCGATATGTTTCCATAGATTTTCATTGGGAGGGTGCATATGTTTCCATAGATTTTTCATAGTGATCGATATGTTTCCATAGATTTTCATGCTGGGGGCATATGTTTCCATAGATTTTCCATAGTGATCGATATGTTTCCATAGATTTTCATGCTGGGGGGCATATGTTTCCATAGATTTTCCATAGTGATCGATATGTTTCCATAGATTTTCGGGGGGGCATATGTTTCCATAGATTTTCATGCTGGGGGGCATATGTTTCCATAGATTTTCCATAGTGATCGATATGTTTCCATAGATTTTCATGCTGGGGGGCATATGTTTCCATAGATTTTCCATAGTGATCGATATGTTTCCATAGATTTTAATGGAGGGCCATATGTGTCCATAGATTTTCCATAGTGATCGATATGTTTCCATAGATTTCATTAGACTAATTACTTTCCATTTACTTTCCATAGACTCAGGAGAATACATAAATTTCCATTGATTCTGAAGATCCATAGATTTCCATAAATCCATCATATTTCCCAGAGATCCATTAGTTTCTAGAGACCCATCTGTTTTCCATAGACACAATAACTTCCACAGATTTCTTTGCATCCATAGACAATGGCACATAATTGACAAATCAGTCAATTATGTGCCATGCATGATACACGCTTAGGCGATCATCTATTGTTCAATACATGACTAACGAGGCAGATATTTTTGCCCGCAGTAGGTTGCCATTTCTTGCTGCGGTTGCCATCCAAGGTTATAGAACCCGGCCTGTCCTGCTATTTACCCATAGCTGGTGGGAAAAGAAGAGGAGCAATATCTTTCCCAAGGATATTAGCACATAAGTGAATGTTATGGATTCGACTGGAATTCGAACTCGGCTCTCTGATACTTTCGTTGTTCAAATTGTTGATCACGAGAGCCGTATATTCTCTAGATCTATATTTTCTTTGCCTGGAAGAAGTGAGGCAATTGAAGAACATTCTTGATCATCTTAGAAAACTAAGGAATGATTTTTACATTACACAGAATCCTGAGGACGGAGAAGGCTGAACTGAATGAGTTGTTTTGAATAGTTTGATTTCATCAATAGAAAGGACGCGGCAGAAATACTTCCCATATTTTAAATTCTCGTTTCTATAGTACTAATGAACTCAGTCAAGTGACAATGGTGTCTTCATCTAGCTAATGTCTTACCATTCCGTTGTCAATAATATCAGTTATCATCATGGCTTGGATCGGTGAGTACCATGCGCTTGCTTTCGAAACGTTTTTTAAAGAGTAATTGCGAAAGAGAGGTTTTCGTGCTCATTTCATGTTACGTCGAAATGATACTGTTCCAGCTGAAAAACCGAAACTGCTATGGGTTGAAAACTGCAAGTTCACAAATTCAGCGTTTAAAAAAAGCCACCTGGAAAACTTCGAATCGCTCGAAATTACGGGTGATGGGAAACTTTACAAATTGTCTCCAGTTCTGTATGGTGAATAGAAGATACTTTTTGGATTATGTCATTTTTAAAACAAAATGAATAAAACTGTAGTCCTTTGTTTAAACAATGGTGAAATAATTATTTGAATAGCAGTTACTTTGGTCTTTTTATCAAAGAAAAATGTGGTAGATATTTCTGTCAAACCCAGGATTTACCGCTTACTTCAATAACTGTGCGTACATTGTCGTTGGGTTGAACCATTTTAGAAATTCGCTGTTGACTTGGCAGTTCGCATCTAACTCCATCATTTCCTGAACTGAATACGGGTGCATGTGCGACTGTGTCACTACTTCGGAGACTGGAGAGAAACTAGAAATATTTTCAGCTTTTTGTAGACTTTGATGGTTGATTTATTAGTGAAGAAGCGAACGCTTGTGTAAATATTTAATTAATTTTATCTAACAGATAGAATTGTCAGGTGGTTAAAAGAATAATCTGCTCTGAGATTCACAGAGAATATTGGAGTCATAATAAAGGTTTGTGTTGAAAATCTCTTGAACTTGCCTAAAGAGCAACAGCTTTCTTGAGATCAACGAATAATTGATGAAATACTGGTGGAATTTAAAGGTGAATAAGATATACTTCGATGGATGAGGTAGAGTCGCCCGTATGTGTATAAATGCGAGAAAGGAACGTGGGACGGCGACACCAAAACATCTGTGTTTGCTAACACTCTGCTTGTCGACCTCTCTAACTCCGGGCAGAGAGGAACCCAGACAAGGCTATGTCAAAGGCAGAGTCTCGTCTGGGCGAGGTAGACAGCTACCAGACCCCGTGTATACGGGGTCTAGGGGAAAGTTTTGCCTGGCGTTATGTGCTCAGAATCGCCCCAAGAATAAAGAAAAAAAACGGCCTTGTGTCACATCCCGCTTTGTGGGGAGGTTTTGGGTAATTACGGGGACAGCAAAATCTCTGTGTTTGCTAAAACTCTGCTTGTCGACCTCTCTACCTCCATGAAGAGAGGAACCCAGACGAGGTTATACCTAAGGGCAGAGTCTCGTTTGGGGAGGTAGACATATACCCGACCCCGTGTGTACGGGCTCTCTGGGAAATTTTTACCCGAGCCAACGGGCTCGGGATCGCCTCACATAAAATAACCCCACATGAAATAACCAGCCTTTTGCCACACCCCGCCTTGTGGGGAGTCATGGGTAAATACTGAGACAGCAAAAGCCGTATTTAGCAGTCGAGAAAATAAAGTAATAATCTGCAGCTGGACTTAATCTAAAAGTAATTGAAATCATTTAATTAATAGAAACATTACAATAAAATATAGACCTCCTATAAATATAGTGATTTTCCAAGTGTAGCTTAGATGTGGCATAAGGCCGAAGTTATGGGGCACCCAGCGAGCATCGAACTCACTACTCAGTCGTGATTTTTAGCGAGACAAGCTTGCTAACTATTACACCCCTCAAGGTGGCTATGTTGATTTTCTAAGCGTAGCTTAGATGTGGCACAAGACCGAATGGGTGGAGAACCTAGTGAGGATCGAACTCACTACACAGTGGCAGTCGATCTAGCTTGCTAACCATTACACCACGTCGAGGTACCCAACTTCCTAAAAATATAAAATTTTAATTTTCAAGTGAACTAAAATTATTTTGAAACCAGTATCATAGTTCTATCTATGAATTATAAAATTGGAAACTTGCTACAAGCCATCATCATTATCATCATCATCCCCTTGAGTTTTGTAATCGTACGGCGGATCCGAATGCAGAAGCCACACTAACTCTTTTCCACAACGGTCCATTAACGGTAGCCAACAGCAATTTTGGTGCAATCAGACATGTTCATTTTTTGACGTCGTCCAACCAGTTTTTGCCTTAGTGCCCCCTCCTGCGTCCATCTTCAACGGTGCCTTGCATGATGGTCTTGCACAGGCTGTTGTGCCTTGTAATGTGTCCAAACCACGCCATTTTTCTCCGTTTGACAGTGGCGAGAAAAGATTCCTGGTGTCCCACAAAACTTTCAACCCTTTTTCCGCACAAAATCATTGGGTTTTTTTTTGTTCCCAATAGAAGATGCCAAGGAGTTTTCTCATGCATTTTTTCTCAAACGTTTGGATCCTTATCTCTGTATCTTCCAACAGCATCCACGTTTCACATCCATACAGGAGAATGGAGATTACCAGCGATTTGTACAGTCTGTACTTTGTTTGAAACCTGATTTTGCTCCTCTTGTTAAATTTGGCCATCGCTGCGGCGATTCAGTGCGGATTTTCGAGTTGCAGTATTTAAAACTGGACACTTCCTCAAGTGAATTCCCATTCATGGTAATGTTGACAGGTGTTACTATTTGTGTTATTCACCATTACTTTGGATTTCTCGGAGCTGACTTCCATTCCATATGCTCCTGCTCTTTTCAAAAAGTTTGTTGGTCAAATCCCGGAGCTCACTGTTACTACCCGTTATGAGATCAATATAATCTGCAAATCGTAAGTTACAGACGGGTCTGGCACCGATAGAAATAGAAGAGTCATGGTTGGTCAAGATTTCTTACATGATTCTCTCTAGAATACAAGTAAGCTACGCTAAGTAAATCGCTATAGAATTGGAAACTTATCAATTAAACACCATAATTGTGACAATAATAAATTTACTTTATTTTGATACACATAAATTTCTTTTATAACATTTGACTTATTACTTATCAATCGACAGTCTTAGGTTTTTGAAAATGAATGTATTTTGTGCATTTTGATACCGATTTATAGATAAATTTAGACTAGACAAGTCTAAATTTATCTATAAATCGTCGTCGAAACAATAAAATCACAGCAAAACTGAAAGAATTGTTATATTACGATGAACAATACTTCTTTCTGCGTTTGTAATAAAATGCGTTTATTTTCAACCGCATTCAAAAATTAATTAATGCGACACCTGTCATATTAGTGTGAATTTTAAAGCAGTTTGTCAAAATTGGCGCATATTTATTATTATTTTATAACTGAGGATAGGAAATAAGCAACTTTTTCAACATTTTATACTTTTCTATTGAATAAGTAATATTACATGGCCGAGTGGTTAGAATGCTCGCATTCTGATAATGGGATCCGAGTTCGAATCTCACCATAGTCAATATGCCGGGAAGGCGACTTCTTGATGTTATCGGAATGGAGGGGTCGATCCGAGCGTGCGATACCTTTGGAAAGTGTCTGAAAATCATACCACGGGTTGACCCAAGACTTGGGAGTGAAATTCGGTAGACGGAAACCTTGGGTGCCGTCGATAGCTGTTCTAGAACGAAGTCAAAAGACATCGTTCTCAGCATAGTTTCAAGGTGGACTCTGTTGATGTTGAATAAACACAAATATGAGTGGCCAGCTATATATATATATATATATATATTAACATATTTTTAAATATAGCAAACAACTCTTTTCGGAGTGCATGGTGGTGGAGGACCTCCGTCTTCTTCAAGCTGACCTAGAGGCAAAGCAGGATGTTAGGCGCTGTAGGGCTCTTTTGGTGTGGCCGACGAGGGCAGCGCCGTCGGCGAAGAGGAGCTGTCGGACAGGCTGCTGAAGTGTTTTTGTGTTGACAAACATTAGTTAAACAGATTGCCGGTAAAGGCGGTAGCGAATGTACACAGCATCGTCATCGTCGAGGTCTTCTGTAGCCTGTTTAAGCATCACGCTGAAAAAGATGCTAAACAGTGTCAGTGCCAAGACACAATCCAGTTTCACGCCGTTGAAGGTTCCGGATAGGTCGTTGTTCAACCTGACTTGGCCGCGCTGGTCTTTGTGCAGTTGGATGACCATGCCGAAGAACTTTGGTGGGCAGGCGGAAATCACGAGAACTGAAGCAAATTTGCTGAAGTCACAGCTACGCTGAGCATGTCACGTCTCCAGATTAGGGGATGATCGCCTGCCCAAGATAGCTCTGTACGGCGTACTCTCCACTTGCCACCGTGACAGAGGGGCACCAAAGAAACGTTATAAAGAATTCTCTCGATACTTACCACATTGAACGTCGCCAGTGGTCGACACTTACTGCTGACCGACAAGCCTGGCACCGCACGGTCCATCAGGCCGTCTCCACCTTTGACAAATCTTGCAGGGCCAACCTGAAGGAGAAACGCCACAGGAGGAAGGACCAGGAAGCCTCGGCAGCTATACCAGACCAGACCTTTAATTGCAGTCGCTGCGGCTGGACTTGCCTGTCAAGCATCGACATCGTCGGCGATCAGCGTGCCTACAGTCGACATGGACAGCCCACTTCAGTCCTTTTCTGCTCACTGTATCAAACGCTTTGTTCAGGTCCACAAACCTTACGTTCAGTCCTTTGTTCTGCTGACTGCATTTCTCTTGGAGGTGCCTGAGGACGAACATCATGTCTGTGGGGCTTCTGTTGGCCCTGAAGTCACACTGAGTTTCTGGTAGTTGGTCTTCATCAACGGAGAGTATCAATCTGTACAGGAGCTCACGAGCAAGGTTTTTTCCTGCGATGGAGAGAATAGTAATTCCCCGGGTAGTTGGAGCAATCTGACTTTTCTCCGTTGTTTTTGTACAATGTAACGATGACTTCATCGCGGAGGTCACTAGGAAGTTTGTCCTGCTCCCAAAAAGAAGTTCTTGAAGTTTGCTGTGTAATGCTGGTCCTCCATCTTTCCATCTTTACCGTCGACTTCCGCTGCCTTATCACTCCTCAGCTGCTCTATGGCTTTGGTATCTTCTTCCACAGAGGGTAGTTAATCCAATTCTGCCCTGACTGGTGGCTGGGCATACGGAGAACTTTCGGGTTCTGGACGACTCGGTCAACCCTGAAGAGGGCCTGGAGGTACTCAGACCAACAGTTCCGGATGGCGGCTTTGTCTGTGAAAAGCGCCCGTCTATTTGCACTGCGCAAGGGACTCTAGACCCGATGAGTCGGGCCATACATTGAGGGCGTCGTAGAAGCCTCTGTAGTCACCTAGGTCTGCGCATCGCTGAGTTCTCTTTGCAAGGATGGTGCACCGCTCATTTATTTTGTATCTCTCGAAGCTTGCGCTGGAGGTTGCTGCAAATGAAACGGAAGGCAGTTCTCACAAAACATGACAGCTGAGCTAGATGGGCCTGATGGGCTGATTGCTTCTCCAGTAGTTCCTGAATCTCGAGGTTGTTCTCATCGAATCAGTCTTTGTTCTTCCTGATGGTAAACCCCAGAACTTCAGATGTCTGCAGGATGGCAGTCTTCAGCTGATTCCATAATGTTTCAGGCGAGGGTTCTACTGGTCAGTCGCTGTTTTCAAGCTTGGGCTGTAGGCCTGCCTGAAAGTCAGCTTTCACTTCAGGTGACTGAAGCTTGATCAGATTGAAATTTTCTTTCTCCCTTCACTGGTTTGGGTTTAAAGTGAAGGCTAAGTTTGTAGCGCACTAGGTGATGGCCGGTGTGACATTCAGCACTGAGCATCACTTTGGTGTGAAGGACGTCTTTGAGGTCTCACTGGTGTACAAGAACATAGCCTATGAGGTGCAAATGGACCGAGGAAGCATCCAGGTTGTTTTAAGACTGTCACTTTACAGGAATATGGTGTTGGTGATACCAAGCTGCTACTCAATGCAAAGCTCCAGCAGCCAGCGCCCATTGTCATTGCAGTTACCAACGCCGTATCTGCCAAGTACTTGTCTGTAGGTGTGCTTTGGGCACGGCTGCGGAGTGTTGGTTGGTGACTTTTGCTTTAGATTAGAGAACTAGAAAGGATTATTATAAAGATTAATATACATAATTGTTGGGGCCACCCACCTTCTCATCAGAATGGACTGATCTCTCTACTACTAATAGGGAAGTTCTATAAAGTTCTGGGAGATCAGGTGACCATCACACTTCCGTCTCTCTACCGGAAGATACAGTTGGACTTTATACTCTTTCGGATTGTTACGGACTAACCTGCGTTCGTTTGACTACTAATCTCTCTGTTGTAAATACCTCTTTAGATATACCAGTATTTTTTCCCTACGTATGTGTTTGTCCTTATTTCAATACACGCACGGGGAAACGCTCAACACCTCAACAATAATATATCTCTATATGATTCAGTGGAAAATAAGAAAGCATTTATTGTCGGAAATTTTGTCAGCAGAAAGGTTTAGTATGTTTATTATTTTAAATATCATATATATATATATATATATATATATATATATATATATATATATATATATATATAGGTATGGTGCGATGTGTAAATTGTGGCCATTTAATTTCGTGCATGCACGTTGTGTGTTTTCGATATTATCAACTGCACAGTATAGTAGGGTCAGTTGGGCACCATCTCTGAGAAAAGGAGCCCCATGACGCAATTCACTTCGCCAGAAATTTGGAAACAGCATACTGTCCTGCTTGGCATTCGCACCGGAAGCTCCAATATGAACATTTCAGAGTGTTTGGATGTCAATGGGAGGACAGTGCAGAGGACTAGGAAAGAGTTGGATGAGTCTAATGTTGATTACGCGGGTACGGCAGCTGTTGGTGAGTGTCTCAGTCTCAAACCGGAGGCCTAAATCAAGTGCCTTGAAGAGGTAGTGCTCCTCTGGGTTAAGAGGGTGGCGCTAAGGAGAAGACCCTATGTCAAGCAGCAGGACTATGTCTAGCTTCACCATGGCCCACAAGCAGGAAAATGCAGCCATGGCTGTCAAACAATTTCTAAGAGCACATCTGGCCACCTAACTTCCCAGACTGCAACTCCTTGATTATTATTGTGGGGCTCTGTTAAGCGAGAGACCAACAAGGCTCCTTATAACCCAAGATGAACTGAGAACTGTTTAGAAAAGTTGTGGGAAATTCCGAAGTCGTCTGGAGGCCGTGGTTATATATAAAGTGTGTTCCATTAACATGGACTGATTTTAAATGTGTTATGGGACCTTACCCATAATAACATAATGGACTATTCCATACGTAATAAATACTGCGCCTCAAGAGGGGCAGGGAGTTCAGCCTGAAGTCGGGCGACCGGCTGACCGGCTGATCGGTTGAATTCTCTGCCTTCGGGCGGGGAGGAACCCGAACGAGGCTACACCGAAGGGCAGAGTCTCTTTCGGGGAGGTAAACCGACCCTGAACCCGTTTATACGGGTTCAAAGGGCATATTTTTGGCCGAGCCCACGGGCTTGGAGATCCCACGTTAAACCGGCCTTGTGCCACATGATGCCCTCGTGGGGGGGTGACTAAATACTGTTCAGTCTGAAGTCTGGAGTGAAGTCCGTCAGGAGTCTGTCAGTCAGAGCGAGCGAGTCAGTCAGTCGAGTCAGAGGCAGTCCGAAACAGAGTCGCGTTCAGACAATTACTACTAAACCTGATTGTTCGTATTAACACTTTCTACTTCTCTGTATATATTCCTGTTTGTAATATATCTGTGTTATTCCATATCCGTGTTCGAGTTCTTCTTTATTGGTTCTACCTTGGACTATCACCGTGGTACAAGGAACCGGACCATAACAAAATGTGAATTAAGTCTAAGCGTCTAATGATATTTTTCTTTTTCTTTCAGATTTGGCGGACATTTGGGCGATATTATTTTTCACACATAATTTCCATGACTTAAATAACATGATTCAATAGAGAAATAAATAAATTTTAACCAATAATACTGATTTATTTACTGATGACTTTGATCCGTCTTAATGAAACACCCTTATATATAATCCATCTTAAAGAAACACCCTATATATAAATGTGTGTGTGTGTGTGTGCGTGTGTGTGTGTGTATGTGTGTGCGTGTGTGTGTGTGTGTGGTGATACCATGAATAAATATATATTAAGTATATAAATTCGTCGCACAGCACGGTGTAATTGGTCAATGTATACAATGGGAGATTTTTTCAAACTTTTTTCTACAAGCAACTTAAAGTGTTGTAAAATCGACAAATCTCGAGTAATCTGTTTCTGAGCTTTTAAATTGCTTTCATTTCAAATATTTATTTTTTATTTTGGATCGCGCTGAGCATTTTCTTGGCTCGTAAAATTGTTGCAGTGGCCTAGCTCCTCTATCGCTATTTCCATCAGCTAAATTCTTTCGTTCAACTCAAACGTTTCCAAAATAAAAAGAAACTGTCATCTGGAACTGTAATGAAAGCAGTGATGCCGAATACCAATTTTCACCAAGATCAATAACAAGTTTCTCAATTTTATGAAAAACTTTTGGAACCAGAAATACATCCCCAAAAGTGGGATTTATCACGCTTTAATACACTATGAAATCAAAAAGCTGTTCCTGAAGACTCTCTCACATACCGTGGTATCTCAATTGGATCCATTGTGGCGAAAATATATATATGGATTATTTTAATTAGGCTCTCATTTTTATGAAAGTAAACTACTCCCCACGGCTCAATTTGGCTTTCCTTCTGGCAAGTGATGTAATGATGGTATATATATATATATATATATATATATATATATGTATGTATGCCATCAAACAGCTGCAGGAAAATTGCATACCTCTCCAATAGAAAATTTCATACCTGCTTTGTCGGCTTAACAGAAGTATATGACGACATTCATATAGACTTTCTCATCTCATTTATTAGATGTCACCTTCCAAGCTGCGAATTCACTAAATGCATCGATCT